TGTCAATCAACTGGTGTACAGATTCCTGAAGTGTGGTCAGAGAAAAGGTTACAGAGGCACATAAACGGGCGCAGGACCCGAGCTTCAAATTTCATATAGGTAAGCAAGTTCTTATTAGTCTTGATAAGATAATATAGGATATATAATCTTAAGGATATAATTTTAATCATTGGGGTGGAGGGGTAGGGAAATGGGACGCGCTGGAAGCACCTGTCATGAAAGCTACTTTGACTCGCAACTCCAAGAGCAAGAACGGCGGGAGTGGACCGTTGGGACACATTCCCTCTCCCAGGTGAGAAAGCGCGCGCGCACTGACCTCCATATTCACACTTTCCGCTGAGGATGCAAAAAACCAAGGCTGAGCGTGTTTGGTGCTGTCTTGGCCCACCTCTAGTGCACACCAGTGAAAACGTGCTGCGTGTACACGCTCCCTCTCCACCAACACACACACACACCCAAAGACCGTCACACCAGTCTGTTCACTTGGTTTGTCACTCCGTAAAATATCCAACCTAGGTAACCTAATGAGAAATTCCACGAACACAAGCAACCTATCTAACCTATAGTCTGTTGAATAGAAAACATATTTGCCAACTTTTCATAGTAGGTTGTACTTGTAACGTTGGTTACCATAAAGTAAAACAACGCCACCTATTAGTTGAGAGAACAGTTGTCCTAAAACGATAGTACTTACCTGAGTTTACCAGATTATACTTATATAATATATGCTATACTGGGCCTAGTAATATGGGCTATACTAGGCCTAGTAATGTTTGTTTTTTAGCTTGATTTTTTTTGGACAAATTAAATATACAAAAAAGTGGTGTACTGGTGGTCCAACACTACATATTGGTACTTTCCATCAACAAGTTACTGTAAGCACTATCGTTACATGAGGAAGGGTCGTGATCTGCTTACCCTGTGTAATGTTGCATTTACAATGTAAACTGAATTTTGAGAACGCCTACATGCTGAGGTAAGCGTAACCAGAGGAGAGGCAAACCTGATTATATAACCTTGAAGGGCTGCATGGCGCGTCCTGTAGCTCGATACTGGTGTATGGCCAGGTCACGTGGCTCGTGGCCAGGTCACGTGGCGCCTGGCCAGGTCACGTTGTGATAGGTGCAACACCAATGAGATAGCCTTGGACTGACCTTTTACGGTGGGTGGCGCCCTTCACTCCCACGCCAGACACCTTTCACTGCCCACCTTCACTTTCTGTATTTCCTTCCTCAAATTACCACCAACACTTAATCTAATAAGTTCCCACTAATTAATTTTTAGGCCACTAATTCATATTAAGCAAATTATACCGAGTGTCCTTGAGACCAATGAATGTATATACTGACAAAATAAATAAGATACGCAATCATGGACCATTCCTTGATTGTTGAGTATTATTGTATACTTCTATGATGGTTTCTTGTCAGGTCTATGTAAATTGTACGCTGAATATAATTCACAGGATCAGGTTTTGGGTCAAAGTTAGGGAAAGACGGAACTCCTACGGAATTGTGTCATGGGTATTGGGAACAGTGTTCTAGTGACCAATAAGAGTTGACGGATCAAAGGCTCGTCACGTGGTTCATGGCCAGCCCATCCTCCCGTTTAGACAGTACTTACAGTAACCATGTAGACCATCGTCCATATATTGACGTAATGGACAATTAGAAAGTAGAATTTGGTACTGTTGAATTTGGACACCCCGGAAAAGGCTTTGTATTTGTGGCTTATAAAACCTAACTTAACTATCCTAGGCCTATACACGCTGAGGCCTGATATAGTATATAGTTCATATATGTGCTATACACTGGTTGAAATGGAAGTGCCTTTCATTTCAACCAGTGCTGCACTAAATAAAGAAAATGACCACTAAAAGTGACAGCGAAAACAACTGTTTCCTGTGAACCCTTGAATTTGACAGATGGTTGACATTAAGGAGCCGGTCGGCCGAGCGGACAGCACGCTGAACTTGCGATCCTGTGGCCCGGGTTCAATCCCGGGCGCCGGCGAGAAACAATGGGCAGAGTTTCTTTCACCTTATGCCCCTGATACCTAGCAGTAAAATAGGTACCTGGGTGTTAGTCAGCTGTCACGGGCTGCTTCCTGGGAGTGGAGGCCTGGTCGAGGACCGGGCCGCGGGGACACTAAAGCCCCGAAATCATCTTAAGATAACCTCAAGATGACCCTTAAATGCAAGCTTATTGACCATTGTTCTTGTATGCTTCTCTTAGCCCAGCATTAACAAATAAGCCGCACGTCATTAGACCCGTATGGTTGACATTAAACACAAAACTGTAGAATGTGTCTAGCAACAGTCCTACAACACGCCTTTTCCTTGATGTAATGTCACTTCCTTACACAGCACTGGTTATCATAGCCACGAAAGACATGTGCACACTCACTTGCTGCTAGTGATGTAGTGATGGTCGGCAACTGTTGTCGACCCGACATGTGGGAAGGTTGCAAAATAGGTGTTAAACCAAGCTAGCAACTGCACTTTGTTGCAGGAGTGAATGTGTAACATTCGACAAGCCAGCGACTAGTACAGTGTTACAAGATTGAATGCATAACATTCGGGGGAACCAGTACCTGTCACATTCTTGTCCTCGTGACTGGATGGTTGTTGCCCCTGACATGGCTGGATGGTTGATGCCCCTGACATGGCTGGATGGTTGATGCACCTGACATGGCTGGATGGTTGATGCACCTGACATGGCTGGATGGTTGATGCACCTGACATGGCTGGATAGTTGATGCCCCTGACATGGCTAGATGGTTGATGCACCTGACATGGCTGGATAGTTGATGCCCCTGACATGGCTAGATGGTTGATGCACCTGACATGGCTAGATGGTTGATGCCCCTGACATGGCTGGATAGTTGATGCCCCTGACATGGCTAGATGGTTGATGCACCTGACATGGCTGGATGGTTGATGCCCCTGACATGGCTGGATGGTTGATGCACCTGACATGGCTGGATAGTTGATGCCCCTGACATGGCTAGATGGTTGATGCACCTGACATGGCTAGATGGTTGATGCACCTGACATGGCTGGATGGTTGATGCACCTGACATGGCTGGATAGTTGATGCCCCTGACATGGCTAGATGGTTGATGCCCCTGACATGGCTGGATAGTTGATGCCCCTGACATGGCTAGATGGTTGATGCACCTGACATGGCTGGATGGTTGATACTCCCATGGCTGGATGGTTGATGCCCCTGGAGCTCGATAGTTGATGCTCTTGTGGCTGGATAGTTGATGCTCTTGTGGCTGGATAGTTGATACTCCCATGGGTGGATGGTTGATACTTCCATGGGTGGATGGTTGATACTCCCATGGATGGATGGTTGATACCTTCTTGGCTGGATAGTTGGTTGATGCTCCCATGGCTGGAAGGTTGATGCTCTCATGGCTGGATGTTTGATGCTCTCGTGGCTGGATGGTTGATGCCCTCATGGCTGGATGGTTGATGCACTGATAGCTGAATTATTGACGCAGAAAACATTTTAAGGTTGACATCAATATGAGTTGATGGGTGGTCCAACACTCATGGCTTGCTGGGTTAACATGAGCAAACTTTGGGTTTTGATGACTTTAAAGCTTCTCCTTTTGTTCTCCACTGTACTTATATTTGAAAAAAAAAAACTGAAAATTACATGCTTTCAAATAGAGGGTGTATTCTTGTGCATACTACCGGGATCCATGTAGATGGGTCCCGGTAGTAGAGTCGGGTTTGTTCTCGACTCAAAATTGAGAATTCCAGGTTCGAATCCCAGGCGGGACACAAATGATTGGGTGCATTTCCTATCACCTAATGGGCCTGTTCAATTAGCAGTAAGTCGGTACACCCCACCCAGTTAGCTTGTGGGGTTGCATCATGGGGGAGGGGGGCTCGATACAGTATAAGCATTATATGTATAAATAGACACTAGGAGAGGCCAAGTGTCTGGTCATTACACTTTAGCGAATCCAAAATTACTTGTAATTTGGTTTTCTGAATATTTTGGCTTTTAGGCTGTTTACAGCCCGTCCACTTAAGGTTCCACAACGTCAAGAAAACAGTTAATTTAAAGTGTCCTCTCCTAACCTATCAGACTAAGCCAGAGGACCCAAAACTGGACAGTACATCACTTTTGCGAGCCGTTTCCATTTTCTAGTACGACACTTTTTGGCCTTGGGAACGCATACAAGCGAAAAGCAACATTCTTTGTAGGAGGACAGGTTGGTTTAATACCAATTTTTTTAGATTTTTCTTGTTAAAAATAATACAATATATACTATACAGTATTTCTGCATGTTTTGGCACAAATAATATATAAACAAATATTTTTTGTGCATTAAATAAGGAAAAGTTATTCATTTTTTCACTTACATTACTGATATTACCAATATTACTGTTGCTAAACGGCATGGTTTCAGCTCGGAAATAATTATGCATACTACGAAAATTTGGTGAAAACAGTTGCAGCAAGAGGTCAGCCAGATGTGCACACATGAAAATGGCAATGGTGGCACTTGTGCACTTGTTGTTGAAACACCTAGGAAGAATGTCACAAATACTTTTGTAGAATTTATAATGCACAGTACACACTTAATAAAAGATTTCTTAAATATAATTTATTTTGAATATTTAAAAATAAAAAACAAGATTAGCAACAAATAAGAAAATAGATATGATTTGATGGAAATTACTTTGACTTGCCTACAATCTGTATTTCACAGTGTTCATCTGGAATCTGTTTTTCTAAGGGGGAATCCAGTTGGCAGATTTAATTAGTAATTTAGAATGACCCATTATATGGAGTTCTGGAATTTGGAGGATGCACTATTCCAGTACTAGTACACTGTACTTTACATGTAGACTTGGAATGAAATGCCAGTTATTAATGAAGCAAAACTGCTCCTTGTTAGCTGGTTCCTCTCTCAATTATAATATGATGGTTATCCAATGTTATCTATGGTATGTATTTTATTATTTTACTTTGTTTCAGCGGTGGAACCAGCTGCCTCGTCTGCAGCGAGTGGTGTTATTAATGCTGGGAGTGGCGGCCATTGTGGCCCTCACCTATGCCATTGCCAGCCATGCCGAACCTTCTGCTGCGCCTGCAGTTTCTCAGTCAAACTATCAACAGGTGAGCTAATTTTCATTTTAACCTCCACCAGTTATAGGCTGGAGTTCCTTTTGTTGTATTTAGTTATATATATATATATATATATATATATATATATATATATGTCGTACCTAATAGCCAGAACTCACTTCTATGCCTACTATTCAAGGCCCGATTTGCCTAATAAGCCAAGTTTTCATGAATTAATTGTTTTTCGACTACCTAACCTACCTAACCTAACCTAACCTAACTTTTTCGGCTACTTAACCTAATCTAACCTATAAAGATAGGTTAGGTTAGGTTAGGTAGGGTTGGTTAGGTTCGGTCATATATCTACGTTATTTTTAACTCCAATAAAAAAAATTGACCTCATACATAATGAAATGGGTAGCTTTATCATTTCATAAGAAAAAAATTAGAGAAAATGTATTTATTCACGAAAACTTGGCTTATTAGGCAAATCAGGCCTTGCATAGTAGGCTGAGAAGTGCGTTCTGGCTACTAGGTACGACATATATATATATATATATATATATATATATATATATATATATATATATATATATATATATATATATATATATATATATATATATATATATAATGTCATATCTAAAAATACATACTTGGAGGTTCACATACAGTATCTGTTTACTGTGTATATATTAAAAAAGAAAGGAAGAAAAACACTTATAGCCTTTCTCCATGTAGGAAAATAACTTGACGCCGCCTCCGTTATTGCCTCATCCCCCCGATAACCCGCAAGAAAAGTGAGTGAATTTTGACTGATGTTTGTTAAATATCAAATAGAAAGTGACTATACCCTCATAATATCAAATAGAATTGGCTAGGCCATATTTAATATAAAATGTTAGAATAGTGTAGTAACATGCCAATGACAAGGAAATTAAGTGCATAAGTTACTCGTGTAGTATCGTATCAAATTTAGTAGAAAGCAAAATTGACTTTTCTGACTCCCTCCATGATGTACAACTTAAAATAATTTATTATAGAGAAGAAGTAGTTGAGAATGAAGAGTATGCCAAGAAAGATGCCATCAAAGAAGGAAGAGATCAGATTGTTCCTCCCCCGGGACTTCCACAAAAAAGTATGTATTATTAATTACTGAAGGTGCAACTGTCTCATGTATTTATCCCAATGGTGTTTGATGCTTATAAAGCTTGTCCATTTGTTTGTGTAGGGGAGACTTGCCACCACTTTGCAGCTGTATATGACACGATGTTGCTAATTTCAGATATTGAGTGAAATACAGGTGATTGTGCAGTCAATATGCCTGTATTTTTTGGTTTAGTATTGAGTATAATTCAAAGTTTGTATTTTCTAAGAATTTGCAAAGCATTTGTTACTACTCTCAAATTGATTTTCAGAGGCTTTATTTCATTATCAGAAGAGAAAGGCATTGGTTATTATCTGAAGTATATTTACATAGTTATTTTTAGATGATTGATATACTAATAAGCATTTAAATAATTATAACATGTGGTAAGTGAGGGCACAAAATATGTCTATACGATATATATAAATGTAAGTACAGTATTTCTACATGTACAAAAGATATCAAATGTAAACATAATATAAAATTGTATGTTATACTGTGTATTAACAGGAACGGCAAGACAAGAAGCAGTTGTTGCAGCCATGAAACATGCTTGGAAAGGCTATAAGACATATGCATGGGGTCATGATCATCTCAAGCCGATATCAAGAACACGAAATGATTGGTTACGCCTTGGGCTCACACTTGTAGATGCGCTTGATACTTTGTGGATTATGGACCTCAAGGAAGGTGAGTTTAAAAGTGTGTACAAATTCAAGTGATCTAGGTGCTTCAATAGAGGTATTTTTAACTTTCTACTTTGCAAATTAAAGGAAAGGAATTGGTATTGTTCCCAAGTTTTGTTTAGAATTAATAACATGAATTCAGTGTTTTAAATTTTGTAGATTCCCACTCGAATGCAACAATACCTGATTTTCATTCTGGTAGAATGGTTTCCATATTCATTTCCAGAAGAAGTAAATGAAGATTTCTAGCAGACTAAGTAAATGCATTTGCTGGACATAAAATTTAAACTGATACTTATTTTTTGTTGTGTACATATACAGTATAAAATGTACTTTCTGGATGAGCCTCTCCCCCCCCCCCAGTGGCTCCCTAAAGCTATTTTGCTGAGATTGCACGATACTAAGAGTCATGTCAGTCATGGAAGTACTGTTTGACCTACCAGGTACCAGAGCCAGGGCCTTGCCCCCTCATAGATGTGCAGGGAGCAGGTGACACTACACCACCCCATTATGAAAAGCTTTCAGAAAACCAGTGAAGCTCTACAAACAACTGGAGGGTTCACAGAAAATGAAGCCTTGAAACTGCCAAACAACTCCGCAAGTGATTCACAAACAAAGAATTCACTCAATTAAATCAAAACTTGTTAGTACAGTACTGATTACCACTGCTAGGCATCCTGGCCCCACCTCGCAGCCGGGTTCCCTGACCAATCGGTTCTGTTGCTGATGTTAAAGTGGGACGTTCCCACTTGTAATGCTCCAATCTGTCAGTGATGGGGCTTCAAGCTAAGTGCTGGCCATCCTTGGGCTGTGTTTGTTCTATGCGGGTCAATTGCTTATTGTCAAGTTCTTTATTTTCGTGTTAGCTTCACGTACATATTTTCTATCTGGCTTGTTGTGTGGGCTTGGCTTTTATTGCATTTCAGTTTGCATGTGCTCAGGGAACTTACCTTCCCTGGGTCCCCACAAACACTGCCCTTGCATAGTCAGAGTTATCTTCTCTGGTGTGTTCAGTTCACCCATGAGAGGCCAAGCGACCAAAGTGGAGAGCCTGGCCTTGCACTAATCATGAATCCTCGATTCCTCTGTTTGGGTTCTTGGCTAGGATTAATTTTAATTGTGATAGGGTACACTGGGGTTTGTGTGTTGTTTATTCGGTATGTATAGTCTCCATTCATAGTTTAGTTGTTTTGGCTGCATTTAGCGACTGTTCTTCCGAAGAGCCCCAGCAGGTGGGGTTTATACTTGGTTAAATCTAATGAGCCTGCGGTTTACCCTTGGGCCTATGGTATTTGCAAATGCATGGCTTTGGTCACTGTCTTCTTCATACCTGGGCAGATATTTGGGTTCTGGGGTTTTGGCAGTTAAGAAACCCAGTATTAAGTGTAATAAAATGCCTCTGATGGAGACCCAGTGGCTCCCTGATTCTCTCCTGCCCTTCCAAGTTCATCAGTGGGTTCATCAGTTCTAGAACTGGCTTGGGGAACCTGGTGAATGCAGGAGTCAGGCTGCCTAGTGGTGGTGATCGGTACTAACAAGTTTTGGGCTAGGTTGAATGGATCTCTTGATCCATGGGGATCGTTTGCCAAGTTTAGTGGTTTTGAGGCTTCATTTACTGTGAACCCTCCAGTTGTCTGTAAAGCTTCACTGACTTTTTGGTTGCTTTCCTGATGTAGTAGAGAATTATCACTAGCTACCTGCATCCCTGTGAAGTGGCCAGATTCTGGCTCTGGTCTCCAGTAGGCACACCAGAACTTCCATGACTGATGTGACCCATTAGCATGGTGCAATCTTAACAATATAGCTCCAGGAGGTACTGGGGCTCTACCAGAAAGAGGCATTTCATACCATTCAATGCTCGTTTTTTTCTGGCAGGTTCCTCCCCACAATGGGAAATAGAACTGTGATAATGTTACAAATATTAAATTAATGATTAAGAAATAGGAGTGCAGATATGAGAGGGGTAGATAGAAGATAACATTAAAGATGAAGGTTTTGTTGGTCATATCTTCATAATGGCAAACCTAACTAATAAATAGTCTTACCCTTGTGAATGATAACAATCTTACACAGAGTTCAGTGAGGCACAAGAATGGGTTTCAACACAGCTTCACTTCAACTTAAATCAAGATGTCAACTTGTTTGAGACTACCATACGGGTGTTGGGTGGTCTGCTGTCTGCTTACCACCTCACCAAGGAGCAGGTTTTCCTTGATAAAGCTGTAAGAAACATTTGTATTTTGTTCTGTTTTATTTTTGTTAGGAAAACTTGCTGGCTTTGTTTTTCTTATATGAATCACTTGATCACAGTGAAAGTGATGGGGATATTATTTCTTTTGAACCAAATGGCTCAATTTGCTCCACAGTTATTTCATTTTGGTTTTACAGGGAATTTCATACATCAGTATGTTGTTGGATTCCTTGCAAAAAAATAACTTTGTAGAGCTCAAGATTATAAACATGTACGATATTAAAATTGCACGCTATTGTCTTGCAGGTTGACTTAGGAGATCGATTAATTGCTGGATTTAACAGTGGTTCAGGTGTGCCTTATGCTGATGTAAACCTCTACTCCAGAAGAGCCTCTAAGCCGAAGTGGGGACCAGATTCCTCTACCTCAGAAGTAACAACTATTCAGCTGGAATTTCGTGATCTGTCACGTATAACTGGAAACCCATCATATGAGGTTAGAATACTTCTATTGTATTTATAACCAATTCTATATATTGTATTCCATATATTCACATACATTGTAAATTACATGTCAGTGAGTTAATTTTTGTGCAAGATAATTTAGAAGCCAAAAGTATAATTAAATTCTTAAAATTCCTGATCATATAGGCTTCTTGTATCATTTGACAGTTTCTTGCTGTTCATCTGTAAATCTTTCAGTAATGAAACAATGATGTCACTTGGGCATGATGTAGTGAATGGAATAATTGACCCATAAATGTTTTAGACGAAGAAATTTTCAACTTAAGCATTTATCTTTAAATGTATGAAGATGAAATTTAAATTATCTATTTCTTACTTTTAACTGTACTGTATTTATGATCCTGAGAATGAACCACCTTATTTATGTATTGAAAAAGTTACTAGATTTAAAATTGATGGTGCTTAATTATTTAACAGTGCATGTGACTGATAAGGAAATTTGTTTTTTCAGGAAAAAGTTAACTTTGTCAGTGAGCACATCCACAAATTACCCAAGACCGAGGGTTTGGTTCCGATTTTCATCAATGCCCAGACTGGTGAGTGGCGATCACACTCTACTATCACACTAGGAGCCAGAGGGGACTCCTACTACGAGTACCTGCTTAAACAGTGGATCCAAACTGGCCGCACCAAAGATTAGTAAGTTACATATTGTAGTGTTGTATAGGCTCTGTTTTATAATTTTTTCCGTGAATGTATATGAGAACAAGGGGCAAAACTTAGAATAGTTTTATGAGAGGAAATTAATAATTTATAATACAAATCAGGATAGATAGAATTAAAATGATTGGTGGGTCGTACTCTGTGGAAAGAAGGTCATCAATAACCTAATTAGTTCCCTATAATAGGAGGATAAAATTAAAAATAGAAAACTTGAAGTTGCCTGTAAAAACATTAAATCTCAAAATCTTAGGGGTTGATCTAAATGAAATTATTGACATACTGAATGTGCATCTCAGGAATATCATTTCTAAATGAGAATACTATATCTATGCAGATGTGCATGCTAGAGATGATACTAAAAATGTTATTACTGAAGTAGGAATTTATTAAGAGCACCATAGACATTATCTCACGAAGCAGTAGATGAGTATTGGTGTTGTGGTGCTTGTTGAGCCTCGATATTTTAGTTTTAATGAAGATGAAAAAAAGATCCAATACATGTGTAAGTGTATTATCTTTTTTTCACCTTCATTCTAATACTATGGTATTGTAGTAAGTTTTTCTATAATTTGAATGATGTGACAAATACACAATTGATTGCTTTCTCTTTTTTGTTATCTGTCTCCAGCATTCACAATATCATATTACACTCCAGATTCATTGATGTTTTCCCACCTCAAAAATGTGTGACACATGGCATGTATGTGTTGAAGTGCTAAATAAGATACTGTATGTCTTGGTTCAGAATTGGACTCGTCTAATCAAATTGTAGCCTATGTCGAGGATTCACTGCCTCCTCGATTTAAGTACAGTGCATAAAAGATTTTACTTGATTCTACTTATTTTATTACTTTTACATATTTAAATTTTTTAACATAAAAATATGTAATTAAAGTAAACATAACTAAACCTAATCAAACTAAATCCAGCTTAACCTAGCTGGAACTAATATAATCAAATTAGTCTTATTATATAGTTAAATTATAATCTTTTTCAAATTAGGAACCTAACCTAACCTTCCCAAGCATTTATTATGTATCTATACCCAAAATACAACAAAAATAGTTTTAGTTTATCATAAATGCAGTTTTGTACATAACTTATTTTCAGGTGTTTGGGTTTGTTTCTCCAGTGTTATAGAATATTATCAAATTAGTCATTTTGTTTATTTATTATTGTTTCCATTTATAACTAAAATCTTATTTTCAGTCTTAGAGACGATTACAATGAAAGTGTTTCTGGAATGGAGCACCGCTTGGCAGCACGAACAGAACCCAGCAATCTCCTTTTCTTCGGAGAGCTTCATGGCAGTAGCAAAAATTTTGTAAACAAGATGGATGAGCTGACATGTTATCTTCCAGGAACTCTTGCACTTGGAGTTCATTATGGAATGCCAAAACACCACATGAAATTAGCAGAACAGCTGATGTACACCTGTACTCTCACATGGCTTCGCCAGCCCACCAACCTGGCTCCAGAAATAACATACTTTAATACGCAGGTATTGTTTTTATTTACATACACCATAGTAATTTTATTTGTGTAGAACACTGCACGATAGGATAAATATTAGCCACACATCTCACTAAGAAATCTAGAATCTAGAAACATTATTTGTCATCCATAACTAAATGCTTATGTGATGTTTCAAGTTTGCAAGTTCACTTTATTTTGAAACAAAAGTACTCATACGCATTCTATACTCAACGGAATTCTAATCAAAGGACAATAGAGTAATGAAAGACCCCCATAGGTTTAATGAAATATGGCATAAACAAGAGTGTACACAAATGGGATGGTAACCATGGTATATGTTATGGGGGAAACCCCAGGTGAGGGTACAGAAGATAGTCATACACTGCAGTTACAGAAACAACTTATAACAAATTATAGGGGCTGCAGAAGAGAGGGAAGAAACAAGGGTAGAGAAGCACGGCTATTGAAAATTATGCGGTCCACAGGACTAGTTTGTAGATTTTTTTTCCTCTAATAAACTGCTTTAATTATGATGTCATGAAAGGTGTTCAAGTTGTTTTATAACAATCATTCATGAAACTTTGATACTAGGTGCTGTTGGGCAATGCCTCTCACATGCTCAACAACCTTTGTTATTTGATGCGGTGCTTACATAGTAAAATTGGCTCATATATAATATTAAGTATTGACAAAATATATTGTGAACCTGGGTTGGAAGATGGTAGCTATTTTGCCTCTAAACTTTCTCATGTGTTGCACCATAATTGTTCAAGTCATTTCATATGCTTAACCACCAAGAAAGTTAACATTACTTAAAAAAAAAAGTATATCAGTTGTCAAAACAATTTATATTTAGGTATTAGATTACATATGAAATATTTGTAAATGTAAAAATAACAATATTGTAACAATGCAGCCTACAGGCACCAGTGAGGATTTCTTTGTGAAGAACAATGATGCACATTACCTATTGCGGCCGGAAACACTCGAGAGTCTGTGGTACATGTACCATCTCACCGGCAATAAAACATACCAAGATTGGGGTTGGCAGATGTTTCAGGTAACTTATTATATTTAGATTATACTTATTTAGATTTACATGTCTGCATAAGAAGCATTTAACTTGGTACAAAATTTTAAAGGCCTAATGTACAATCTGAAGCATGGGCTTCAGATTTCAGATTTAAGAGAGGATAAATTATATGAATTGTTTTCTGTAGGGGGTGGTAGAATATTCCATGTTCTTGGATATTTTTAAATTTTCTATTCAGTCTCGCATATTAGTTCAGTACAAAGGTACATTTGGTTTTATTAAAAGGAGGATTTTGCAATAATTATGAATTACAGACTACAGTAGCAGTTTAAAAGAGAGCAGTTATTTATACAATTGAATATAACTATTTATATTTTTGCCAATTTTGTACAAAATTTCAACTTTTTGCAAAGTCAATGATTCTAACTGGTAAAATATAATTTGGCTTGGCTGAGGCACAAGCTTCGTTGCTCATCAGAATTTAGTGTAGTGTATGTATGCTTTACAAGTTCATTTTGTTAATGTGTGTGAATTTGTTTATTTGAATACTGGCCCATATCTGGATTTTCTTTTTACATACAACATTTTTTTGTTGTTGTTGCTTCCCATGGATACTGGAGCAAAATATTTCTGACTCCTGTTAGCAGACCGAGCACTTTCCCTTCCCATAGCTCACGGTAAGCCTTACCCCTACTAATTTTCCCTGGACCATGACCTGCCAGTTAACAACCAGGTACACTTTTACTGCTGGGTGAACAAGGGCAAACAGTTATAGATTGGCACCCAGTCAATCCTCCCCAGCCAGGACTCAAACCTAGACAAAATCGCTCACAAGACACGGGGTCAGTGTGTTAACCGTGTGCCACCAGGGACTGTACACTTGTATATGTGCAAGGTATTCCTGATCGAATGTATTTTGTGGTTTCATAAGGATTAATTAGCACACCATGACAACTGCATCTTACTTAACTATACTAATATATATATATATATTGTATATTATGTAGGTGGGAAAAAGGATAAGCCTGCCAGGAAGAAAATAGAGCTTGGAATGGGAGATTACATAAAGCCAATGACCTTCCTACAGGAGTTTCAGTGGGTAAGGTCCGAAGAAGGGACAACAAATTAAATGATGGGTCATGTATGCCAGAAATATGTGTTCGCATAAGAGTTTATACCATAAACGAAGGTAATAAGAGCAGAATTGTTATATTATTCAACAGAGCATTCCACGAATCAAAGAAGAATGGCAAAATTATTGACAAAGAACTGAAGCAAATGGAGAGATACTAAAAATAAAAAAAGCTAAGAATAGAAACACTTGTTGGGAGAAAAATGGAGAAAACATTTGAAAATAAGGCAGATCCAAGGCATAACAGTTCAATTAATCAGTTTGATAAAAATGGAGAAAACAGTCTTTGGGAAAATAAAGTCTATGAGGAATGTGGCAACCATTCCAAAATACTTTCAAGATAGAACCCCCCTCCCCCATTTTTTCAGGGATATTCTTGCATGGGCCCTAAACCTTTGACTGGCCCACTAAAGACTGAACCAATATCAAGACTAGGTATTAGTGACAAAGGGTGAATTGGCACAATGAAGAGCAACATTATGGTTATTGAAGATAAAGCACAGAGGTACCTAAGGAAACTATACATACCAACGGCAATAGAACCTGGCCAAACATTGTAACAACAAACTGTGGGAAAACTTCAAACCCCTGGCAAAGGTGGTTTGTATACAGTGCCATATTAGTCTCTTTAATTCCCAGCCATTAGGAAAAAATGTGAATGTCATACCAGTGTTCAAGAAGGGGGACAGGCGGGAGGCTCTAAATCTAGAAGAGCTCTTTACACTTGGTTTGTAAAGCCTTTCTTGCCATTCGGTGTCTTTGCTGGTTTTCTGTGATGTTTGAGTGTGGATGGTGTGATATATGGATGGGTGTCATTCTGGTTCTCATGAACCTCCTTTTCCTGTACTGGTCTCTTGATCTTGGGTAAATGCTTCCTGTGCTATGAAAATTGGAAATGAGGTATGATCTATAAAAACTTTAAATATGCATAATAATGTCCTTGCTCTGGAAAATATAAAAAATAATTGTTATTTTCAGGGCATAGAAACTTACTGCAGAGTAGAAAATGGCTACACATCAATAGGCAATGTGAGAAGCACTCTAGACACCAAGCCTAAAGACAAGATGGAGTCATTTTTCCTCGGAGAAACACTAAAATATCTCTATCTGTTATTTATGGAAGATCAAAGTACATACAGTGTTGATAAATGGGTATTTAATAGTGAAGCTCATCTCTTGCCAATATATTCTCACTAGTCTCACAAGTCATATCATAATAATCAACTTTACTAGGAAATGTTTTAATTGTTCTAAAAATTATGGTATATTAATGGTTCTTTTTTAATAGTAATTCGCATGACTTGAGAAACCAATCTGTGCTTCTTTGCGAAACTATACTTAAATATTATAGATAAGCAGGTAGACTGTGATATTGTTAATGTGAAAGTCTGAGTATTTCAGTATTCACAAGACCTTCATATGAGGGTACTTTACATGCCATTAGTTTTAATTACAAAATTTGTTTACAGTTCATATTTAAAATTCTAACTGATAATTTTTTTAATCTAATGGACAGTACAGGTATATATATTTTTGTTATGGAAGTTGTTGTACAGTGTTAAGCTGTGTTTGCTTTTAATATGCAAGTTCTAAATAATTGACTGCCAAACCCGGTTTGTTATCCTCAGTTTGATATATGGGTGGTGTGTGATTTTAAATTTTTTGGGGGGCAATTCATAATTTGTATACTGTAGTCCAATACTGTTACTCATAGCAGGGGCTCCATACAATAGTTTCATATTAGATGCTATTGAGCAATGTTAGTACAGTACAGTATTATGTTAATCACCCCTGCATACTGTGCTGGTTACGGCAAAACAAGAAATGTCTCCGTCCATCAGCATGTTGAGCAAGTCAATAACGGTCAGTACATTTACTGTATAACACATCCATTTTAAGCCAGCATGATGGTGTAAATGTGTGTACATGTTATGATCATTATTGAGTGTGTACGCACAGGAAGACCCCAGGCATGATGTTGGTGTGAGAGTATTATGATTATGGGTGTACTTCACCTAGTGGTGCTCGCGGGGGTTGAGCACTGCTCTTTCGGCCCGCCTCTCAACTGTCAATCAATCGACTGTTACTAACTACTAAATTTTTCTTTTTTTTACACACACACATACACACACACCCAGGAAGCAGCCCATAACAGCTGTCTAACTCCCAGGTACCTATTTACTGCTAGGTAAAGGGGCATCAGGGTGAAAGAAATTTTGTTTCTTGAAGGCGCCGGGAATCGAACCCCAGTCCATAGGATTACGTGTCTAGCGTGCTGTCCACTCAGCCACCAACGCCCCGTTGAGTGTTGGAAGAACACAGGCACCATGTTGGTGTGAGAGTATTATGATTGTGGGTGTGAGTGTTGGTGCAGGGAGACCAAAAGAATAATCAGGGGAAATATAAAGGGCATTTAACATAAATTTCGTCACACTATTGAGTAACAGTTAAGAGTAGTAATGTAAAACTGTAGAGGTTTATTACCAAGACAATTTTCAGCAGTGTAATGAATATACTGTAGGCCTACACCAGGTAAAAACTCGACTTTCAGCCAAAATTTAGATACACAATGAACATTTTCTATATGCAGGTAATATATGGACTGCCATTCAACTTTATTAGACCAGCTCAGTGGAAAGTTGCTATCAGTAACTTTTATTTATCCTTAAAAAGAAAACAATCTTTACAAATGTCTAATCCATTGTGCATGTCTACTCAGAATCGGGGCTCAAAATATCTGTAAAAGCATTATCTTGTGTAGATCGAGGTACATTTTAATGAAATCTATGAAGGCATCTACTGGCACTCTTGAAAGTCGTTGAGGAAAATAATAGTAGTGTACCAGTGACAAATAAGGTTGCATATCATGTTTAAAAACAAAAAAACAGTAGAGTAATAGAGCAAGAGGCAATATAAAAAATGGATTAAGTAATATTCTAATGTTATTGTAAATTATCTTCCAATAACATGTAGATTTTTTTATAATTTTGAAAAGGCATAATTTTCTTCAAATGACATAATATTATAATTTTATGGGTTATTTTTTCTTGCCTACGTTTCAAATAATTATCAATTTTCTTACCGAACTCGAGTCTGCATCACAAAGTGTAAACTGTACAATGGCAACTCCTCTGCTGTAAGATAATACTGTATGGTAAATATTCACTGCAGTTTATTCCACACCAGTTACTTGAGTATTGATTTTAATATGACCTGTGTAGTGTAGCAGGGTCTACCAAAGCCATCTCTTTCATTACTCTCATCTTCGAATCTGTGATTTTTTCTGTCCATATATATAATTTTTATTGTATCTTAAAATAATTGTAAGATATGCAGAGTTATTATTTAAGGGATGCTCTTGAGTTTGTGAATGTGTTTATATATTTATTGTAGTTACTTAAATGGAATGAATGAATTGAAATACAGGTATAAATCTCGTGTTTTTTCCAAGAGATTATGGATCTTGTTATGTACTTGTTTCATAAAATATAACATTCATTAACTTAAAATTTATTGGTCAACATAGGTCAACACTAACAATATTGTGAATATGAAAAATTGTGTGCAAAATATGTTTCTGTAGGGGTACGTATACTTTTGTCAGTATGGCAAATGAGAATTAGTAGTCGTTTCTATCGAGTATTAATTTTCCACATTACAATAAAATTTAATGTTTAAGTTATATTAAATGAATCATTTTCATATAACTTTTGCTTGTAATACAGGATTATCATTTCTCTGCCCCCTAACTTGTAACAGGCATTTAAGATTACTGTCCTTTTAATCTTTCATGCTTACATTCCCAAATGCTCGTAACTGAAGTCAGAAATTCATATGGTGTGTCTGAATACCTTGATTAATGGACCAATTTTACTTTAAATTTGACGAACTCAAAGGTTTATGGGACCAAAGGCAAGTAACATAGTGGATAAACCTTAAATATCCATACAGAAACTCCTCCAGATGTGGTACTGAAATTTGCATCTCTGATGATATTTCTATAAATTCAGTGATCGCTAACTTTTGTCTTTGTTATCATAAAGTTGCATTATGAATATACAGCGTATTAGCCAGCTTGTGTATTGGCCATATTAGGTTGTCTCAAGTCATTTGACGAAAAAGAAACTTCCTTAATGCTCCACTCCTTGCTCTCATACCTCATGAAATACTCTTATTTCCATCTTATATATTATATTTCCAATAAATCCCTTTAATAAGATTAGATACACTTTTTAGTGAATCAGATTTATATAACATACCTCATACCCTGTTCTTATATCTGCATCTTTAATATTACAATATATAATTTGTTTTTATCTGTAACCTAGATACAGTAGTGTTATATAGGCATATTGGCTTAGCACGTTTTGAAAATTACTTAACTAGTATGGAATATCCTTTGAATATTATTTATTTAATTTCTTTCAAATAATTAATCTTTTTCAGCTTTTAACTGAATTTTGTACTAATATTTTTCCAGCTGCATTCAGTTTGCCACTGCACATACAGGAGTGTACTTGCCCAACACCAGTCTCCAACTATAATTTAGAGAAAGTACAATCAGAGATGGGTGTAATACTTCAACAGTTAACATGTACCATTACCGTAAATTATGTTTTTATGTATAATTATGAAACGAATGCTATAAGTAGTTGCTGGCAAGTAATAGATGTGAAATTTTCTGAGAGGGACATCTCAGTACATTCCTGAGGTAAATGCTGGTCCAGCCAAGCTGTATGGAGATGCAATGGTCCTCTGTGACATACCCTTGTCTACCAGGAATCCTGATCAGAAGCTGACACTCTTGGGGCAAGGGACTTGGGAATCATATATCATCCCAAAATGAGAGGAAAGCATAAGCACAGCAAAACTAGCAGTTACTTGAAGAAATTAATGAAGCAAACAACCATTGCTGTGGGGCAAAGATGCTACTCATAATGCTCCTGTCTGCCACCACACGGCAGCCCAGGTTACTTGAAAACTTTGTAAGCCTGTAATTAATGAGCCCACCAAACTGAGCCTAACTCCTCTACCCACAAAAGAGAACAATGGGGAAAGGGAGCTACTGTGGGCCAGACCAGAAAAAGAGGTAAAGAATTAAATTATCCTTCCATTTCTCCTGGAAAATCCCTACAATAAAGTGTTGTAAACTATGAAAACAAACAAATAAGACTTAAGAAACAACAAGAATACTGCCTAATGAACAATGTCAAACATGCATTTTGTGTGGAAATGTTTAAAGGTTAAAAAACTAGAGGGTACTGGATGCACTGTGAATTTTAATGACCAAATATTCATTGCCAAAATGCCAAATAGATGTTTGTTTTTACAGCAGAAATAATGGAAGTGATTCAAGAACTCCAAATTACTGTATAGGGGACATTACCAGACATTTGTCATTTTGTTAATATAAAATCCTTCCCAGCACACCCCCATCCCACCTGTCATACTAAAGGCTTGAGTGTTTTCCATAGCAACCAAATTTTAAACAGTTCAATTCTGCCTGGTTCCTTTTATGTAGAAATTTTAGAAGATTGAAGAGAATGATAGGAGTCTATAAAAGAAAAAACTGCACTCTTTGTCTCTGCAGTTTTTTCTGACCTATGGAGCCAAATGCAAACATTTAAAATGCAAATTGTAATACCATTAAAACATGATTGTATATTTAATTCTCTTCAATTTATCTACAGCAATATCCAAATGGCCTTTTAAATCCAACCAATGGATACAATGAGAGGATAGTTCCCAAGTTAAGATTCCAGTTTACAGGTTTCATGCTATTTGTTAAGCACAGACTAGTTGGGTATTAGAAATTTATCAAACTACAAGTATATGCACTGCAAAGCAAACCTTTAAATAAGATATTTTGAAGCAATTTACAAATACAACCATTTATAGAATAATTTAATGATATACATTACATAAATTTACTGTAATCATTGAAATACAATACCAAGGCTGCAAATCTATCCTGAATATTTTTAATCCTGTGTGTTGGTTATTGGAGAAAATTACTCTAACCATTTAGTTTGTGCTTGGCCTTTAGTGTAAATTGTGTGCAGTATTATCATAATTAAAATTTCATTATTGTACCAGGAACTAGTATGGAACTGGCCTTTCATTAAAGTTAATATACTGTAATATTTGAACTTCACTTTAACTTAAGACAAATATTTGGCAAGAAGACATTTAAATTTTAATGTTTCTAAACTTGGTGACTTTACATTTGCTTTTCAAATAATCAATATAGCAAAACTTATATAAAGGGTTGTGTGACATTTTTTTGTTGTGTGTGTGTGTGTGCACGTGTGGCTATAATTATAGTGTTTGAATTTTGTATAAAATTATAATTTGAGAAGATCCAGGTTGTTGTGTTGTGACTGATGTTTCATGATAATGCTACAAGTAACACATTCAATATTCTATGAAGAACCATTTATTTACCATAGTTTCTTGTAATGTTCAAGATTAAAAATACAATGTATTTTATAATGCATTATACAATGCATTAAAGAGACATATTTAATGCTCACATTTACATTTCATTATATTTATAAAATGTATTTTAACTGAATATAAATTAGATTTTGTTACATTATACCTCATTCCACTTACTTGTACATACAGTTATCAGGCATTGAAGATTTAATTGTTAAAATATAGGAGAGATTATTGAAATTTAATTATATAATGCAGACTTTTTCTTGGTATATTGTATCAATATACAAATGTGTTATTTAAATATTTTGTTTATTATACATCCTTGGAGAGAACTAATTTTTGGTATTCCATTTTCATTGTATTACTACATGAACATACATTATTTTGTCCGTCCTCTTCACATCATCTTTGTTGGTAGGAGGAGTATTAGAGAAAGTAAGTTATTTATTACTGCTGCTTCTAAGATTTATCTTAACATTTCTGGCTGCTTTCTTTACTTTGTGCAGAAAGCACGGTATAGATTTAATATTTTTAGGGGGGGGGGGCCTGACAGCTGAGCAGACAGTGCTTCAGATTCGTAGTCCTGAGGTTCCGGGTTCAATCCCCGGTGGAGGCAGAAATAGGTAAAGTTTCTTTCACCTTGATGCCGCTGTTACCTAGCAGTAAATAGGTACCTGGGAGTTAGACAGCTGCTACAGGCTACTTCCT